TATATATGTGATTTTTTTTATTAAACTAAATGAAAATGTTGCCTGGGCAACTGACTGAAATAAAATAATTACAAATTTAGTTTTATTAATTTTTGGAATATTTTAGAAATATGTCTATTTAGTTTCTTTTATTAATTTTTATTTCAGTTTTACTCGTTTTAATACTTCAACTTATACAAATTAAAATGATCAATCTTGCCTGGGCAACTAAATGAAATAAAATTCATTCAAAATGTTATGTTAACTTTATAAATTTTTTTAATATGTCAGTTTCTGCTATTAATTTTTATTTCAGTTTTAGTAATTTTAATACTTCAACTTATGAAATGAAAATGATAAATGTTGCCTGTGCAACTAAATTAAATCAAATAAGTTTACATTTTGCTATATTTGATTAGTTTTGGGGATTTTTTAAGAACATTTGTTTATATAGTTTTTTTAATAAATTTTTATTTCAGTTTTAGTTTTAGTTTTTTTTTTTAGTACTTGAACTTAAACTAAATGAAAATTATAAATATTGACTTGACAAGTAACTGAAAGCTAATAAGTTTAAATTTTGTCGTACTGTCCTTTCATCTGTTAAGGGTGATTTCTGATGACAGCACTGCTCACTGCAGTTGTTGGCTGCGTCTTATAAGCTGTTGTAGAAAGTAAAAATAACTTTCTTGTTTACAACCCTGTTTCAGTCTCTTTCAATATAAAAGTCTTTAAAGCAGACTCTTGTCTCCATCTAATGGCGGAACAATGTTACTAAAATCACCATCACGATCACACACAATACTAAATGCTATCATTAAATACTATTATTTATATAAAATATTATTTATTGAATAATAATATTTAATAAAAAACAACAACAGCCATCATAAAAGTTTCTAGGCATTACAGTCAAAAATACAAAGGCAGCGCTCTGAAATACAGCATTAAAGTTACATAAAATATAACGTTATGAGATTTTTCCCTCAGCCAAAACTATTTGCTCTGGAACAAATAACAGATTAATGAGACCAAAGACTGCCCGTTAGAATTACCCAAAACGAATTATATCTCATGTTTAACCACAGTAGAGACATCAGAGCCAGCGGTGAATTCCAGAAGATCTGGCCGAGGTGAGGCTGCTCTCGGCGGGTTCATGAGCGCTGAACGCCCGCTGACGCCCTGGAGCTCACATCTCCGAAAACATCGAAGCTAATGTTCAAACAGACGTTATCTTTATTTACAAACCGCATATTTAAAGACTAAACAAGTACATTCTCCCCTAAAACTAAAACTCTTAAAACTACATTCTGTATTACATTCATAATACTGTTCACAAAAACAGTATTATTTTTTAATTATAGTGGATTTGGGCGTCCGCCATGAGACTCGCTGTGAGAAATACTGTAAGCGGAGTGATACAAATGGTGAAGCGGTTGAAGTGCTGTTATCACTAGAATATCGCACTCCTCTCAGCCAATCAGATTCCAGAACCAGAAAGAAGTGTTTTATATACAGTATATATATATATATGAAGAGTTCATTTGCAAAAACCGATAACTCTAAAAAAATGTTATTGCACATTCCAAGTAATATCAATCAAACTGCAGTTGGGTTGTTTTGATTAAGTAATAATAACTTAAACAAATACAGATAATTTACAAAATTAAAGTTCATTGAAAGTTTTTTTTTTTACATATTAAAAGTTTGTTTTATAGCAAAAGCAGATAACTCCACATTTCATGTTTTAGAGTTTTAAAAAAACACTGGTTTAATCTTTGTAATCTCCTCAGATGACAATGTAGACGCCTGACAAACGTTGTTGTTGTTGTGATCATAAACTGTATGGATGTGATTACATGCAATACACATAGATTTTCCCTCATCATTGTAACGCGCTGCTTTTGCAAGCTTCCGTGAAAACGTTTCAGCTTTTATTTTACTTTTTGGCCCAAAGAAGAGATCACAGGTTCATCAAGTTTGTTGAAATTATCCATCCTCAATCACTTTTAGTCAGTTTTGACGAAACTCCTCTCAGCTAGCACGTCTTTTCAAAGTGAAAGTAGCCTTGTCACCTGACCTGAATACAGCATATATATATATATTAGTTAACTAAAACTATATGATATATATTATACAGTATGTAGTTATATATATATAGAGTTATATTTCATTTGGTTAATAAAAATGTTTTTTAATAGTTTTAGTTGTACTGAGCACTAATAACCCTAGTGTTTACATGGTACTCCAGTGAACTTCAAAGAATCCAGTGTTGTTTTATAGTGGTATTTTATAGTGTCTCTCTCACTGTTTCTTTCTGTAAACATCATTCGATTGTGTGTGTGTGAGTGTGAGTGTGAGTGTGTGTGTGTGTGTGTGTGTGTGTGAGTGTGTGAGTGTGTGTGTGAAAGCTGTGTGTTTCATTCGGTCCGTCTCTGTGTTTGACGTTATACTCATAAGCTCTTACAGACGAATCCCAGAGCCAGCGCTGTTATTCATCAGTTCATTCTCGTTCTGGCTCTTTTTATGTGTTTATTCTCCAAAATGAAAACCTTGTCTTGGTTTTGGCACATTAAAGCGTGTGAGGAAATTCATCTGACCGACATGCAAAGCCATCGATCAGTTCAGTTTGTGTTTTATCTGTCATTTAACGGCCGATGTCAAATTATAGCTTGGAGCTTGCATTTACTCTTCACGTAATATGAACTGACGCTTATGCATGTTTTGTGCAAAATGTTGTTACAGGAATTGTGTTGAGCAATGTTTTAGATTCTATACTCAGCTCTGATTGGCTGCTGCTTTGATTGACGCGTGTGTGCAGGGTCAGCGCGGCGATACCGGTCTGGAAGGGAGGGCGGGACTTCCTGGCCCGCGGGGCGAGCTTGGACTTCCTGGTGTCGTCGGAGAGAGAGGGCCAGTGGGGTCAAAGGTCAAAAACCTCAAATTCTTCCTTTGGTTTCTTAGTATTACTTTGATAATGTATTATATATGACTACATGTGCAGCGCACACAGTATATACTACAGTATGCAGTACGTATTACTTTGCACCCTTGACCTTTGACCTCTGCAGGGCGAGATGGGTTTACCGGGCGACGGAGGACCGGCGGGTGCTAAAGGCATGGAGGGGGCGGCGGGAGACCAAGGCGTGAAGGGAGAGCAAGGTGCCAAAGGAGAACCAGTGAGTGTCGTCATTTATGTATTTACTCAACCTCCCATCAGCCATCATTATCTGACCGTCACATCGTTTAGGCCACAATTACTGAAAGGTACCATGGTATTACCATGCTTTTCTGTAGTATAGTGTATATAGCATGAAAATATCATGGTTGCATGCTAGATTATGTGTGGTTATTATAGTTAACTAAAACTAAAACCATTTATTTTTGTTATTTGAAATAAAATAAACATTAACTGAAATAAAATGTATAAATTCTTTTAATATTTATGTCCAAGGCAACATTTCTCATTTTCCTTTAGTTTAGTCTAAAATAACTAAAACTGAAATAAAAATTAATAAAACCCATATAGACATATTAAAATAAATGAATAAATAAACATAATAATAATTAATAATAAAAATGACAAAAATACACAAAAAAGTATTAAGACTTTAACTAAAATTAAACTGAGAACGGAAAAATAAAAAAAATAAAAATCTAATTCAAAATATTAATAAATACTATCATAGTAAATTAGTAATATTAAACTGGCACTGTATCACTGTACCGTTGTCTCACAGTAATGCTTTTTTTTAAGCCATGTAAAGTTCAGCCAATAATGCAAATCTTGATCATGTTTATGTGCTTTGAGGGAAACTCGAATGTATAAAAAAAAGTTTTGTAAAGTTTCGTAAATAAATGTAAAAAAAAGTCTTGTAAATAATTTTTGTTAAGAGTATAAATTTGTCTAGTTATGCTAGAAATTGCTCTTTTTATGAAAAAATATTTTAATATTTTAATATTTAAGTATATATGTTTAAAAATGTAAAATTATTTAAAAAAAAATTTATTTATGAAATATGTCATCATTGTTCAAATATATGATGAGGAAAAATTGCTTGAAATTGAATCAGACTGTTATTTTAATTTGGTTTTAATCCAATTTAATTTTAAAAATGCGTATGAATGTGGTTAACTAAAACTAAAACCAGAAGAAAAAAAAATGTTGCTTGAAACAAAATAGATTTTAAAATAACATTTTCATTATGTTTATCTTGAAGTACTAAAATAAATAATACTAAATAAAAAAAAAAAATTACACATATAAAAAAAATTACTAAAACTAACTCAAATTAAAGTGAAAACAGAAATGGAAATATAAAATCTAATTCAAGATATTAACAAAAACTAACTGTATACGTATATCAACGATACTAAAATAACAGCTGAATCAGATTGAACCTGATATCATGTGAATTATTTATTTATTTTTCTACCAAAAGAATTGGTCATCTGACTCATCATCATTGATTATCATAAATCCAGGTTTTTTTCCTGGAGTTGGTCTAAATGTCAGCGGGTCTGTTATGTAAGAGGTTGAATGATGGTAAGCAGATCGTTGAGTGAACATGAGACAAATGAGCTGCTCCACTTTCTTACGAAACTCAGGAAAACACAATAAAGGCCGAAAGCGAGCTGGAATTCCAAGCGTCCGGAGCGGGAATATCATCTTACAGGCCCGTGTATGAATGAATGAACATGTGCGACTGTGGATGTTGACTTAAAATGATGGGCTCTTGAAGACGAAAGTCAGTGAAATCATGCCAGAAACACAGACAGGATCAGCCCAGAATAAAGAGGGAAAAGTGTGAGTGCAGGAAGTTGTTGAAGTCTGGATGGTGACCCAGTTTTCTGGTTTTTCCTGCAGGGTGAGGTGGGAGACGCAGGCATGCTGGGACTCCAGGGGTTTCCGGGACCCAAGGTTAGTGTTCAACATTAAAGGTCCCATATTGTCAAAACTGAAATTTCCTGGCTTTTTTCACGATAACTGAGGTCTAGTTGCTGCAAACGGAGCATTTTTGATGATCGTTTCTGTCCAGTCTGCTCCTTTTATCGCGTTTAGCCACAGCTGTCGTCAGTTTTTTGTCTGGCAGTGGCAGCAGATATGGTGTACAATATGTGACCTTTAATCCACAGCAGTGGAGATGTGTTCAGACGGGTCACTAACCGGATGACAAGAATCACTCAAAACATACAACAGATGAGACATTAATCAAGAACTTCAGATTGAGAAGAGCTACAACACTTAATATCTTTTATATGCAATTTTATTTTATTCAAATAAATATTAAACATAGTAAAGTTTAATTAACATTTTATTTTAATTATTTAATTTAGATTGTATTTTAGTTATTACATTATTTATCTATCTGGTAGTTCAAATCTATTTATAATTTTTTTTTTCATTAATTTAAATTATTTAATTCTATTTTTTTCTGTTTCTTCTATCTATATACACACATAAATATTAAACATTAGCTTAAAATTTACATTTGATTTAAATTATGTAATAAAAGTTTAACTTTAATTTACTTATTTTATTTTATTTACTTATTTATCTATCTATTACTTAAATGTATTTATTATTTAAAGTACTTCATTAATTTAAATTGTTTAATTTTACCTATTCTATATAATTCTATCTATCTATCTATCTATCTATCTATCTATCTATCTATCTATCTATCTATCTATCTATTATCTATAATATTAATTTAATTTAAATTAAAAATAAATTTTAATTAAAAATATTTAATATAATTAAAATGATATTTTAATTATTGAATTGATTTATTTATCCATCTATTAAATAAAATGTATTTATTATTTAAATTATTTCATTAATTCACTGTAATCTACGCACAAATAAATATTAATACATATATGTATATTAGCTTGTATTGGCTTAAAATGTATTGTTTTTAAATTATGTATTTATTTTTAGTTTTTTATAATAACAAAATGGAGATCACTAATGTACATATGTGATTTGTTGTTTGTTACTTCTATGAGTATTTCTGTTACTAAAATTACTCCACAATGTATAATATTCACGTATACCTCATTTCATGAGTTCACAAACTCGAGATGCACGGCATACTGTCAAAATAACGAATCGCTCTTTCAGTCAGCGTCTGAAAATAGATGTTAAGTGCATCTTTCTCTGTGTTTCAGGGTCCGAACGGAGATCTAGGATTCACTGGTATTCCTGGACTCAAAGGGCCGGCGGGAGTTCTGGTCAGTCTCGTCTCGTCTCTAAATACATGTGAATGTAAGCGTTTGCTGTCATCTAACGCGTCTCAGTCGTGTGTCTGTGTGTGTTTCAGGGTTTCTCTGGTCCTGTCGGTCCGGTGGGAATGATCGGTCCGCTGGGGAAGCCTGTAAGTATTTCATTTCTGTGTTTATGACATGCTTGTTACTGCTGGACTTACAATCTGGCGCCTGATGAATGTCAGATAACGGATGTGTTCGATGCTTTCTCAGGGTGCCAGAGGACCTAAAGGAAGCCGTGGAGAGATGGTAAGATGCGCTCGTCATATTTCACAGCACTGTGTTTAGTCTGCTGCCAGATCACAAAGCTCTTCATCATCATCAGGAGCTTTTCCGCTCCTCTAATGAAATATCTGCTTGTTCTTGTGTAGCGGTTGCGTAACAGCGTCTGTATAAACTACTCGCATGGAACAGAGAGGATAAACAATCTGACATCAGCTCGTATGCAGTGATGGGCTGCAGTACCTGCGGTGACCTCTGTCACACATCACACAGCATCCGCTTGAACTCAGACCAGTGCTGTTTTACTAAAGCAATAATCCCTGTGAAGCCGTGGTTTACAGTGAATTTATAACAGCTAAGGGGCGTTGTTAGGCACGACAAAAAAAAAAACCTTAGCTGTTATAAATTCACTGTAAACCACGGCCTCACGGGGATTATTGCTTTTATAAAACGGTTATTCCATATACGTAGTAAGGTTTCACAAAATAAAACAGAGCAAATAAAGTGTAATGATATTAATAAAAACAGTATTCTTCCACCAAACAATGTAGCTCCTCAGAAACAGTTGTGGTTGCAACAAAGTGGTTGTCAAGCAACACACAGAAGTAAACAAAGGTGTATGTTTGTAGAGTAATTTACAACAGCTTCGAAAGTGGCTCAGCCAATCAGAATCAAGGACCGGAACTATCCCTTTTATAATACCAATGAGATACTATTATGGTTTTGGGAATATTTTTAGTTCGATTTTATTTTTCTATTTTCTGTTTTTACTTTAATTGTAGTTAAAATGTTGTTGTGCGGTTTTTTTTTGTTTTTTTTATTAGTTTTTGTTATATATATATATATATATATATATATATATGACGGATATGCATATATATATATTTAAATCTTTTATTTAAGTTTTAGTTATTTTAGTATTTCAAGTTAAATTAAATGAAAATGAGAAGTGTTGCCTTGGCAACTGGAGAAGTTCACATTTTTAATTTTATTTCAGTTACCTTTATTTTGTTTCAAGTAATGGATTTTTTTATATACTGTATATAGTTTTAGTTTTATTTAATGATAATAACCCTGATCAGAGCTCAGATATTCTTTACTTAAAGGGACAGTGCATACAAAACTAAAAATGTGGTCATTCACAATTACTTTATATTGTTTTGAAGCTGTAAATGTTGTTGTTTTTTTTTGTATTTTTTTGTTGTGCATATGATGAAACATTGTGGATGATGATTTATACAGACAGTCTGCAAAAATAACACCATAAGCGCCATAAAAGACATCCATGCATGATATTTTACATCTGAAATCATATGATAGCTCTGTGTGAGGAAGTAAATCGTGACAGAATTGTCTTTTTTTTTTCTTTTTTTTGGTAAACTATTTATTTTTGCATTTAAATTTTGATTTAACCCCCAAAAATCCAAATGACTTCGGATAATGTTTGCTCCAGTGTTATTTTATTATGATTGATATATTTCTATACTTATAGTAATATTTTTAATTAGCTTTTGTTTTTATATTTTCAATTTTCATTTAAATTGTAGTTATATTTTTGATCATTTTAAGTGCTTTTGACATTTTTATTAATGTTTTTTTTTTATATTACTATTTATGTTTTATTTTTAGTTCAGTTTTAGTTTTAATTCAGTTTTAGGTTTCATTTATTTCCCATTTAAAATTTTATTTGGTTTTTAAACTAATTTTTTATATTTTATTTAATTTCAGCTTTATTTAAATTAACTAAAACATTTTTTAATAGTTTGGTTTATTTTCAGAAAAAAAACCTCATCATGACAGTTTAGGCCGCATATTATTTTATCAAGTCATATTGTGATGTTACTTGATTTATTGCATTTCTGATTTGGAAATACAAAATTTATAAGCGTAAGCATAACATTTCCAAACCAGAAAGTCAATAATCTCATTCAGATATCCTCTGATTTTCATCTGAGGTTACAGCAGGAGGACTGAAGCGCTAGATAAACCGTTTGCTTGTAAGTTTGGATAAATGTTTTAGATAAATGACTGAATGGAAATGTTTGATGATCTCTTTGCACAGGGGCCTCAGGGGCCGCAGGGCAGTCCAGGGCCACAGGTACTTTACACATTATCACACTACAGAATAGTAAAAAATATAATCATTTTTAACGTTGATAAGAATGTTTGTCTTTGATCATTGTTTTTTTTTATTCATGCATTTGTTAAGGCCTAACCATAGCTTTATAATTTGGCTACAGACATGCATTAGGGTTAGTTTATTATATGATAAAATATGAATGTTTATATTCTGTGTTTTTTGACAGGGGCCTCCAGGTTTACCCGGCCCATCGGTAAGATCATCTGACTCACAGCTCACTGTAATTGTGTAATTGCACTCGTTAAACATATGCACGTGTTATTATTTTGCATTTACATTCATGCATTTGGCAGAAACTTTTATCTAATGCATCAAGAAGTTTTGTGCCATTTTCCAGTGCAAATATCTAAACATTCTTAAATCTTGAGAAACAAAATGACTTATATTAAGTCCTGTTTACTGAAAAAAAAGTTCTGAAAGTGAAGTGACTTTATCCTTAAATGAAGAAAAAATATCCGCCAATGGAGTCTGAAAAATAAACTTAGTTTAAAGGGAAAACAAGTTTATTGTTCTTACCCCATTTTTTTTTTGCTTGTTTTAAGAATAAAGTCACTTAATTATGATACATTTTTCATAAAACAAGACTTAATATCTTCTGTCATTTTGTTTCTCATGTAAATGTATATTGATTTATAGGAATAGTTCACCCAAAAATGAAAATTTGCTGAAAATGTGCTCATCCTCAAGCCATCCAAAATTAGGATGAGTTTGTTTCTTCATCAGGTTTGGAGAAATGTAGCATTGCATCAGTGTCTCAGCAATGGATGCTCTGCAGTGAATGGGTGCCGTCAGAATGAGAGTCCAAACAGCTGATAAAAACATCACAATAATCCACAAGTAATCCACAGCACTCCAGTCCATCAGTTAACATCTGGAGAAGACAAAAGCTGAAACAAATCCAGCATTAAGACACTTTTAATCCAGTCTTCTCCAGATGTTAACTGATGGACTGGAGTGCTGTGGATTACTTGTGGATTATTGTGATGTTTTTATCAGCTCTCATTCTGACGGCACCCATTCACTGCAGAGCATCCATTGCTGAGACACTGATGCAATCATGTTAAATAAACCTTTGTAATCTTCAAGGACACACACTACTGGAATATAAAAGATGTGCTGGAAGGTTCTTTGAGGTTGTTTCTTTGTCGTCTGAGTGATACTCATCTTTTTCTCATCTCACAGATACGCGTCAATATGGACGTCCAAGCGCTGATGGAGTCCAATGAACCTCTAGAGCTGGAGGTGAAGACTTTTAGATTGCTTTCTGAAAGTTGTGCACTCATGAAGAACAACTGAAAATCTGCAAAGCGCTTTCATTGTATTCTTGCTGAGATGTTTTCTCTGCTCTCAGAGTTACCAGAACACAGACGTGTCTCAGTCGGAGCGGAGCGCTGAGATCTTCAGGACGCTGCGGTATCTGAGCAGCGTCATCGACAGCATGAAAACGCCACTGGGAACGAGAGAAAACCCGGCCCGCTTCTGCAGAGACCTGCTGGACTGCAGACACACGATGAGCGACGGTGTGTTTAAATTAACCTCCTCCTCTCTGACTCCAAGCTGTGCTATTTCAGAGTCATTGAGATACTAGTTTTTTTTAACTCTTTCCCCGCCATTGACAAGTTATCTCGTCTTTTAAATGAGACATATTATGCCCCTTTTTACAATATGTAATATAAGTCTCTGGTGTCCCCAGAATGCGTCTGTGAGGTTTCAGCTCAAAATACCCCACAGATCATTTATTATATCATTTTGAAAATGCCTATTTTGAGTGGAAGCAGAAACGCGCTGTTTTTCGGGCCTGTCTCTTTAAATGCAAATGAGCTGCTGCTCCCCGCCCCCTTTTCCAGAATAGAGCTGCGCCATTACAGCTCGGACCTACTAAACACATCTGTTTTGGTTCTGATTATAATGTTTATCGCGCTGAAATCATGCATTTTAAACGATATGAGTTTAAACTTCTGATATACGGTTTTCTGAGCGCACACATCCGAAGTACATGCACAGAAAGCGGCTGTCACAGCATGTGAGTACTAAACTAAGTTCTCATTCACACACAAGTTTACGTTAAAAACACACATGAGTTACATAAAACAGTGGGTTATGTCTGTGAAGGTAAACAGCTGGGAAATAAAT